TATCTATCTATCTATCTATCTATCTATCTATCTATCTATCTATCTATCTATCTATCTATCTGCTCTCCACACACACATGCATACATAAATAGACTAAAGGGCTCTTTTTTCTCCTCTTACACATTAAAAGAACTATTTTGTTGGATCAGACTACCAAATATCTTATGGATAATATGGTCCTTTGAAAAACAGGGAAAAGTTTTGTAACATCCCATAATCATTTACAGCTACCACTACTTAATATTCGATGGAGCACAGACCACTTCATCAGAGCTATCTTAAAAGAATATGCATATATGGCTCTGCTGTTTCTGTAGGAAAACAAACAGACAAACTTGGTTTGCCTACAGTGGAATACTTTTAACGTGTGCATGATATGGGGTGTGGTAGTAATAATAGTTAAATATCCTTTCCCTGACGCCCAGTTCCAGCCTCATTGCTGCTTTCAGCCAAAGAGAACTGGAAATGTAACTTGTCACCAGCAGGTATTGTGTCTCCTTGCAACCTCAAGGGTGCAACTTCAAACTCCGTTTTTATTTAGAGTTCACGAGACCAGGGCAGACTCAGTGCTGATCGTTAAAACTCCCCTCTGAAAAGTCAATTGACTGTTGATTTAAGAAAAAAAAAAAAAGCTGGAAAGTCAGCTGAGAAAGCTAGCTTATTCTGTCAGACAATCCATATATCTGAACCATATTACCTTTGCTGGGTTATTGTTGTTGTTGTTGTTGTTGTTGTTATTATTATTATTATTATTATTATTATTATTATTATTATTATTATTAATAATAATAATAATAATAATTGCTTTGTTGAGATGAGAACAATAGAAATCAAGAGAGTGAATTTGGATAAGCAAAAGAATAAAATAAAATAAAACGAAAGGCTCAAACCAAGTCACTTCTCAACTGATATTGGCCAGCCTAATAGAGTTAAGCCACCCAAGGAAGCAGTCCTGGGAGATATTATAGGAAGAACACAGGTAACTTCTCATCAATATTAGAAAAAACTTGCAAGACCCTTGAAAAAGAAAAGATGAACATTTGTATACGTTCCCTTAAGGGTTCCTGGCGGGGAAAAAAAAAATTCACTTAATGTATATTGCCATTAACGGAAACGAAGGTATTTTCGTTCAAAGCTCCATTTTAAATAAGATAGCAACCGAGTTTGAAAGATGAGCAAGGATCTAAAACCCGACCCGTCTCCAGATCTTAGGGCGCGTTGGATAAGGAGGAGACAAGAATTAGGGCGCGTTTTGGATAAGGAGACAAAAATGAACCAGCCTGAGCCAATCTAACCTCTCGTACCTTAAAAAACAAAAACAAAAAAAAAACCTCCACCAGGCAGGTACGCGCAGGTATGAGAGGTGGCCCAGATGCTCGGGACGGTTGCTAAAAATTTGCAACCAGCCAAAAACAGACACGCGCGCACACAAAAAAAGCAAGCAGGAGTGGGACAGGAGGCGAAAGAAGCACCGGCTACGACCTCTGCTTATTCTCCCGTTGACCCGGGGGCAGGAAGCCAGGCAAGCAACCCCACTCCCCGACCTTGCACCCCCCCCCCCCAAGTCTTTACCTGGCCTCTGTCCGTTGACCAGGAGGAGCCCCGTCAGCAGCAAAACCCAGCTGAAAAGGAGCTGCGGGAATCTCATGGTCGGTGGCTGGGGCGCGCGCGCTCCTTTGGAAATCCGCTTCTCAGCCAAGGAGCCGCCGCTTGCGCTGGTCTCTCTCTCTCGGCGTGGCTCGCATCCTCTGAATGACAGGAGCTTCTTGCCTCCTCCAGCAAGGTTTATGACCGCCGGGAGGCAAGGCTACTGGTTGTGGTCAGTGCCTCCTCCTCCTCCTCCTCCTGGGTCCCCCCGCGGCCCGGCCCTGCCTCTTTCTTTTATCACTCCCTCCTTCAATTCCCTAAGCAAACAACAGGAAGGAAAACCTGTGTGGAGCTGGAGATCCCTCACCCACCCCCCCAGCAAGGATCCAAACTTCCTTCCCGATTCAGCCCAGGAAGAATAAATAAAGGCCCCCCACCACCTCTTCCCTCCCTCCCTCCCTCCCTCTCCAAGCTACTGGTTTCCTCTTCCTCCTCCTCCCATTTGCAGCTGTTTATGCTTTTGCTGTTTGGCCCATCTCTGTCCCGTATGCAAACGAGGCAGGGGAGTGATGGAAAGTCCTGTCTTTTGTTTGGCACTGAAAGGCAAGGCTTAAGACAAACCCCTCCACCCACCCCCCCCCAAAAAAGAATTGTGGGCCCCCCCATTCTTCCCCCCCCCCCCCCCCCCAGTCCTGATCAACTAGCTTGCAAAGTGCTAAAGCTGTGCCTTTTGTGCCAGCAAGGTGGGTTTGTTTTTTTGTTTTTGTTTTTTAAAAAAAGGAGCCTTGAGTTTAAATGTATTATTTCGGAGACTGACAAGATTTTAAAACGAGTATTTGCCTCGAGGAGCAGCCATAAAGTAGTAAGGACGAAGGATGCCCCTTGATTCATCTTAAACTATGAAATGCGTTTATTTAGGGCTTTTACGTTAATGAGCCACAGTCTAAAGTTCTTAAAAATTCAAGGGATGCTCAGGAGATGTATCTGCCTTGGAAGCATCCTTTCTTGAACTGTGTAACACGGTCAAACGTCAGGAGCTGGCCTGCTGAATTGCGTGTTTTCGTGATTGTAATGCATACTGTAGTTTGGTAAGTAAGCTTGCTTAGAGTCACCTTGAACCATGAGATAGGCAGCAAATAAATTTGACAGACAGACAGACAGACAAGCAAAGGCTTTTGACTGGAATTCCTACACACACACACACACACACACACACACATATGTGAATGTATATGTATATGTATATATATATGTATATGTATATATATGGTATTCAGCTTTGTTTGGGTATATTCCCACGTCATTATAGTTGTGCTTTTAAAGTTGTAGCAACGTTTTGGCAGAATCTCACCTGCCATCATCACGCTTCTGTATTGTGTTCGTCTGTGAGTCAGACTTTCACAGCCATTTCTGTTTTAAATTTGGGGCTAGCCTACTGCTGTGCCAGAATAGTTTTTTCTTCATCCTGATTGGTTGGGAGTCTTGGTCTGTGTCTTGGAGTTTGCTGTGTTCTGTTTGATTGGTGTTTCTAATATCTTCTGTCTGTTTTGTAGCTTTTTTTGGTCTTGATTGGCTGGAAACATTGTGTTTCCTGTATTGGAGGCTTTTAGTGCGGCTTGGCTCCGAGTAAATGGAGGGCTATCATTTGTTAGGAAGCTAGGTTTCATCTGGGTGCCTGGTTGGGGTGTTTTTGAGCTGGAGTTATCAGGGGGAGTCTGTTTGTGCCCAGATGTTTGGCTGGCTTGTGGTGTGGAGATTCTTTTGTTTGAGAGTGCAGGCTTCCAGATAATTGACAGTCTGGTGGAGTCATCTCTTCTATTCATGCTTTCAGGTCTTTTTTCAATCTCTATGGCTTCTCTGATAATTCTGTAGCTGGGGTTTTCTATAGTGGCTAGGGTTTTGGTGCCATTGAAGTCGATGCTATGACCTGTGGCTTTCATGTGTTGGACTAGTGAGGAAGTGTGTTCCAGCTTTTTGACTGCATCCTGAAAAGACCTGAAATGGCTCTACTCAGGAACGAGCTCCACAGAAAGAGATTCCAACTCGATCAATTAAACAAAGATCTCCTAATTCTACCCCTAGAATTGAGCAACAAAATCCACCCTCTACTTTGAAACAAGATAAAACAACTTACAACTTGGAGAGCTGAAACTGAAACCACTTACAAAAATGACAAACTCCTGAAGAAACTAAAGAAATTAGAACATGACAAGAAAGCCTCCAACAACTCACAACAACACCTGAAACAATTAGTATAAAACATTTCCAATGGAGAACTCACCAAAACAGAAACAGATGTCCTAACCAAAGGATACAATTATGCTATAGCACCCCCCAAAATCCCCACAGAATCCATCATATGTGGAGTGGAATCCAGCCTAACTAAATTAAATACAGATGAAGCTGATAGAATACGACACCAAGTCACTAACATCCTATGCACAAGCAAACCACCCAAAAGCAACCTGAACAAAGAGGAACTAAAAGCCCTGCAAGCCTTAAGGAATGACAGCAGCATAATCATACTTCCAGCAGATAAAGGTAATGCCACAGTAGCAATGGATAGAAAAGACTACGAAACAAAATTGACAGACCTACTCCAAGACTCCACATACAAACCCATAAACACGGACACAACCACATAGCTGGAAAAAATAACCCAAAAGAAAATTATAACCAGCCACATGAGCAAAGAGATCCAACAGACAATCATCCCAAGAGAAAAATCTTCCAGATGCCCCAAACTATACGGCCTCCCAAAAATACGCAAAGAAGCCATACCTCTCAGACCCATAGTCAGCTCCAGAGGAGCACCACTACAAAACCTAACTAAACACTTAACAAAACAGCTACAGCCCCATGCTGAAGCAGCAGCTTCACATGTACAAAACTGATACCACCTCTTGGAAATGATCAAAGATCCAAACATGGAACAAGAAGATCTGCTTGTAAGTTTCAACGTGGTTTCACTATTCACTCAAGTCCCGATAAAAGAAACTTTTGAAATCATCAAAAATAAATACCAACCAGCTAAACACCTCATGGAACTAGCAGAACACTGCTTAACCAACACATATTTCATATACAAAGGACAAAGATACAAGCAAATTGAAGGAGCCCCTATGGGATCACCACTGTCACCTGTCATTACAAACCTGTTCATGGAAGAATTTGAATCCAGAGCCCTAGCCAATGCCACCCACAAACCCAAACTATGGTTAAGATACATTGATGACACATTTGTTATTTGGCCCCATGGAAAAGAAAAAGTAAACAATTTCCTAACACACCTAAACAGCACACACCCCAAAATCAAATTCACCATGGAAACGGAAACAAACAACTACCATTCCTAGGTGTTCCTAATCTACAAAAAAACAGATGGCACACTAGGACACACCATATACCAGAAGAAAACACACACCAACTGCTACCTCAATGTCCAATCCCACCACCACCCAGCACAGATAAACTCTGTGGCCAAAACACTAATCGTCAGAACCAAACGCCTGGCAGACAAGACAGACATAAAGACTGAACAATGCACCCTGACTAAAGTACTGACAACCAACGGCTTCCACAAAAGCAAAATCACTGGCTTGATCCACAAAAACACACTGAGACATAATGGAGACCCAGAAGATGAACAGACCCATGGAACAGCTGTCCTGCCCTACATAAGAGGTACTACAGAAAAAAACAGTAAGATACTACACAGGCATCACATCAAGACTGCCTTCAAAACAGACAGAAAAATAGCAGCCATCCCAAGAAACCCCAAAGATAAAATTGACCTGGAAAACCAAGGCATATATGAAGTCCCCTGTGCATCATGCCTGCCACGTACATCGGACAGACCAATAGAGGAATAAGTACCCACCTGGATGAACACAAAAATGCATATATATATATATATGCATATTAGGTTAAAGATGTTTACCTGGGAAGAAAACTGTGAGTCAGGTGTTTCCAGCCATATTTATCCTTCAAGTTACACAATTGCATCCCAGAAGCAACTTCTACAGTGTTCTGGGTGTGGCATTCCATTTTATGAGGAAGCAATAGAGGGCCATTAGCGCGTGTTGAAATGATGGAAGTCAAGAGAGATAAATTGCTGAGAAACGGAACTGGCTGTAAGACAAGAAAAAGCATTTCAGGACTCATGCTGGAATTGGAAGAAGGCAAGCCAATGTCACTGTTGGCATGGAATTTGGTGCATCAAATGCTTCTGCTAAAAAAACACAAAAACTTTTTTTTAAAAAAAGTAAAAATAGGAAAAAAAATCAAGTAGTTTTTTTTATTTTTCTTGGAATGGGTGAGATCAGCTTCCTTGTGCTGCAGTCAAGAGAGAGTTACTCTGATGAATATTCAATATATTTTCTAGAACATAGAAGTTAGAAGGGATCTTGGAGATCTTCTAGTCCAACCCTCTGCTCGAGCAGGAGATAATATTCCATTTCATACAAATGGCTGTCCAGTCTCTTCTTAAAAGGCTCCAGTGATGAAGCACCTACAACTTTGGAAGACAAGCTGTTCCACTGGTTAATTGTTAGCACTGTTAGGAAATTTCTTCTTAGTTCTTGGTTTCTTTACTCCTTGATTAGTTTCCATCCATTGTTTTTTGTCTTGCCTTTTGGTGCTTTGGAAAATCAGTTGTCCCCCTCATCGTTGTGGTAGCTCTTCGCTGATGATGTAAAGCTATTCAACACCACAGACAACACTGCTACCGTTCAAAAAGATCTTGACTATGTATCAGAATGGTCAAGCAAATGGCAACTTCAAATCTCAACAAATAAATGCTCTGTCCTACATACTGGCGAAAAAAATCAGAAAATAAAATACAGGCTGAATAGTCAAGACCTTGTTGATGATCCAAACTCTGTCAAGGACCTTGGAGTACTCATCTCAAATGACCTAAGTGCTAGAGCCCACTGTAACTACATAGCCAAAAATTGTTAACCTAATCTTATATAGATTTTTATCTGGTAATATTACACTAATAAGTAGAGCATACCAAACATTTGCTAGACCAATACTCGAATTCAGCTCATCAGTCTGGAACCCACATTACGTATCTGATATTAACACAGTTGAGAAAGTCCAGAAATATTTCACAAGAGTTCTCCACTCCTCTACTCGTTCTACTCACTTCTCTACCCTAACCTTATGCCACCAGACTCGAAATTCTAGACCTAGACAACCTACAACTATGCCACCTTTGGTCCAATCTAAGTATAGCATATAAAATCATACA